TTTTTATGGCATTATTGAAAGCCACTCAAAGGGAAAACCACAATGTTGATCACCTTCTGGTGAAGCCCCAGGCAACCAGCTTAACAGATTTCTACATAAATAAGTCCGGCACTTGTGCAGGCACGCCTGTTTGTCCAGGCCACAGCCACAGGGGGACCTGCTGGTCTTCCAGGACAGATCCTTCAGAGACTTTCCAGAAAGAGTAATTGGAGCTCTGAGTGTTTATAGGAATGCTGCAGGAATTAAGACTGTGCAGAGTTCAATTTTTTAACAAACCCAGTTGAACACAAAGCCATGTTTTCATAGACCTTTATGGAAAATGTTTCTTACCTGCTTCAGTTTGCTTGCTTGCATTGGCTGGCAAACTTCGGTAACCAGAACCATTGCTAACTTTGTATGGTAGAGGGATTCTTGATGAACAGATGTTTCCTGAGATCAGCTCTCAAGAATGAACTGTGGGTGATGCATGGATCATCCATCAGTTTATGGTGTTATGCTTCAGGCTCTGTTGGAGATTCAACTGATAACAAGTGGTTCTGCCCCCAGGAGGCTGACATTGTTGTGAGGGGGGAGAAAAAGAAGCTTTTTAAAAAGTGAAAAAAAAATAGTCACAGACTGTGAAAGGTGCTAAAAAGGAGACAGATGAAATTGGCCTGGAGATGAGGCATGCTAAGACAGGAGAGAAACTTACCCTCCTTTAGACACACTTATCAGAGAAGACATCCTTTGGACGTGACATTCAAGCTCACACTTGAGGGGTTAGAAGGAGCCAGCCCTGCAAAGAGCCAGGGGGAAGGCATCCCAGTGAGAGGGAACAGGAAGAGTAAAGTCTCCTCTAGGCTAGAAAGACCTTGGCCAGTGGAAGGGTCAGCAGCATGAGATGAGCTACTGGTGCAGAGTGAAGGAGAAACGGCAGTGTTGGAGGGCACAGTGGAACCCGCACCCACAGAGCCCAGCTGCCATGCATGGGGAGCTGGACTCTATTCTCAGAACATGGGAAGGCACTGAAAGCTGTTAAGCAGAGGCAGAGCATGGTAGATGTGTTAAGCTCACTTTTACCTTGTGTCAGAGACTGGTTTGGATAGCAAGGAGAGTGAAAGTGGCAAGACCAGTTAGGAGGCTCCTGCACTCATTTAGGCAAGAGATGCTCGTGTTTAGAACCAGGGTATGGGCAGTGCAGGTGGAGAGAAGTGGATGGATTAGAAATTCGGGATGTGGGTGGCAACATCAACAGCTGGTGGAATGGATATGAGTGTGAGAGAAGGTTCTGGCCGGAGCACCTGGGATGATGGTGGTACCATTTGTGGAGATGAGATGACTGGAGGACAGGGAGAGAGGGTGGGGGGTGGGCATGTTAATAAGGAGTTCCATTTTGGACATGCTCAAGTTGACGATCTGAGAAACATCCGAGTGATTAGGTCTGGTCAGCAGTTGTATACGTGGGCATGCCAGCACCATGGAGAAGTGCCAGGTCCTGCGGAGAGAGGTCAGGCTGGGATGTCAGATCAGCTGGGTCAAATCCTGGCTCGCTGTTTACCAGCTCTGACTTGGGCAGTTTCCTTGTCTCTGAAGCAGATCTCCTAATAACACCTGCCTGATGGGTTTGTTGTGATGATTGTGTGAGTTGGTTTATGGGAAAAATCAGATTTCAATAGTAAGTATTCAGTAAATGTTGGTGTCCTATAATAACCATTATCATCGTCATCATCTTAGCGACAGTAATTTTCTTGCCATTTCTCTCTTTCTAATTAAAATCAAGGACCTCTGTAGCTGGTAACCACTTCTCCTGATGTTCCTGGAATTATCAGTTTACTAGTCTGGGAACTCAGTGATCACGGGGTGGGGTCTAGATCTCTCCTCCATAAACCGCCCTCATGGTGCCCACACACAGGAGGCGCCTCTGTAAATTCACCCAGTCACGTGGAATTTAACTCGACTCCAGAAAAAGATGCCTATCTGAGGGAGTCGATCAAGCACTGAGGATGGCAGAAAGGACTTGGATACAGACAGGAGAGAGGAAATTGCAAACTCAGTGCCAGTGATAATACATAGCATCTCTGCTCCCCAAGAAGGAGGCTCTTGATTTCTCACAAAGCAGCCCCTTCCAGAATTAGTTAGAGGCCTGTTAGAAGAAAGACTTTCCTCACAATTAGTCAAATCTGATACCTTCCTGAGATTTGCACACACACATCTTCATTGTGGCTCCAGATACCTCAGTACAACACCTGCAGACCCCCACCTCTCCCTCTCTGGAAGCCTCTGTGCTGTGTGCCCTGGGACCTCCTCCTGTTGCTCTCACCCGCTTCTCTCTGTCCTGTTCATTTTGCCTGAAGCATCTCCCTTAACCATGGATCCCTTACATGAGGCCCACTACCACACCAAGGGTCTCCCCTTTTCCTCTAGAGAGGGGTGCTGTCTACACTTCAGTGAGTTCCATGATGTCTCCTCCTGTTCCTTTCACATCATGGCAAGTGGCTCTGCCCTTTCCAGATATAAAATTGAAAAACAAATTTCAATTTCAGATGAACAGTGAGTAAAGTTGTAGTATAAGTTTGTTCCATGCAATATTTGCTAATGTATTTTTATTTGCTAGATTTGACAACCATAGCTGTAAGAATCCCAAGTCAAAATTCCCATGAACTGGACCAAGAAGCCCTAGTGCACAGACCCATCCTTTGACCTAGAAGTTCACATCTTGGGTGCTAATGCCATGGTCTAAAGCCAGAACCCAGTCCTTCAGCCCTCCCTCCACCCACCTAGGGCTCTCAGGCTTCCCTGAAGAGTCTTCCAACTGGAGTGGTCTTGGCTCCCCCAACTGCCATGAAAAAGTCTTAATCTTTGAGTCCAGAGTCCAGGTCCAGATCCCCTAAATAAATTCTTAGTCCTTCCCAGGGCTCTCATACAAATAGGCCCTCAGAGGCCTGGCATGATACCCAGTTCGAGGAATGTTTGCAGATTAGACCCTAGATCAATACCAAGCATCCTTTCCCTGAATTCCATCTTCACTGCATCAGCTCCCTCTGGTGGCCAGAAGCAAACTCCTACTGTCTTGTAGGATCCCTAACATCTCCTGTGACTGGGTTCCTATTTCAGGACAGCCTTCCACCAAGGCTCCTCTGCCAACAGAGATGAATGATACATCAGGAACCCAGCGCAGAGTCAAGGGCATACCCATCCCCCCCACTTCCCGAGGCTCTCTCTGTTCTACACCCATCAGGTCCTCTCGCCTACACCCGAGCTGTACTCAGGAGCCCTAGTGCCATAAACTTTCAGAACAGTAGCCCCTCTCACTTCCCCCAACAAGAAAAACGAAGGTGGTTTCCTCACAAACAGAATCCTTCATCATGCCGCAAAGTGGGTTTATAGGCAGGAATGTAACCAGGATTTCTGGACCCCTGGCTCCTTTCCTGAGCTCCCACGCTCAGAATTGCAAAGAGCAGGAATATGAAGGGACATATTCCTGCGACAGTGCTGACTCCAGCTGATGCAAGGGCATGTGGTTCACCAGCCTCCAGGCAAGGGCCATCATCTGAGAAATGGGCACCTGTAGGTAGAGAAATCGGAATCCCTGACCTCTGCTGCACTCTAGCGCCCACTGCCTTCATGCAGTCCCTTGTCACTTCTCACTTGGGCAGTGACTTCTGTCCATTCAGCCAGTTCATTTAACACTAACTCATCTTTCCCCTTCTAGGGTCAGCTCCCCTCAAATCCGTCCTCCACACTCTCCCAGAGTTGGCCATCCAACCATACCTGCCTGCTTAGAAACCTTCAGTGACTTTTAAGGATAAAGTCTGTAGCCTTAGGATTAAGTAAAGTTTCCTGCCCTCCAGCTTCTATCACTCTGCCTGGAAGTTTGTGCCTCAGAAACACTAAAATCCCCCTAAATAACCTCTCATAGCCAGCCATGTCTCATCGCCATCCCTGTGCTCATACCAGCCCTGCTCCAAATTCTACTTTCTGTCCTATCTCCTTATTTAAGACACAGCTTAGGGGTCACCTCCCCCAGGAAGCCTTGCTGGATCCCCTAGGCTCTGTTTGGTGCGTGTCTCTGATCACCCCAGTCTTTGGGTTTGCCACACAGCATTGTCATGACCAGTGCCTGCACCCTCTCCCCTTCCAGGCATGGTACACCTATTGCTTGGTGATTTGATTTAATAACTGACTGATCAGTTCACTGTGAGAAGGAAGTAACATCCTTTACAAGCGGAATTTGTATCCACTTCCTGAATCTGTTGATTCTCCCCCACCCAACCCTCCCCTCGCTCACTGCACCCAGCTGACCAGTTAGTTTTCCATGCATTTCACCACTTGTACTCTCATATCATCCTGCCAAGTCTCTGCCCTGCTTCTACTTTAAAAGTAGAAAATCCAGCAATTCTGTGTTCATTCAGCTAACATTTTTAACACCTCCATGTTCTGTGTGCTATCTGGCACTGGGGTACAGAGACTCAGTAGGCAAGGTCCCTGCTCCCAGAAGTCGCCAGCCTAGAGGGGAAGTCAGACAAGGAAAGAAGCAAATAAGTATGTGCTATGATGGGAGGACGGGGTGACACAGTAGCTACCCAGGCCAGCTCTGCACAGACTGCCTTGGCTCACATCCCAGCTCCACTGCTGGCTGGCTGTGACCTTGGGCAAGTCCCTTATGGGTTAAAAAAGATGGTTATGATAGTATTTACCTCTTGGGGTTATGTGGGGAGTGAAAGAATTAATTTATGTAGAGAGTTTAGCAGAGTGCCTAGCCCATAGTAAACTTTCAGTAAACATTAGCCATTATTCTTGGCTCAGTAAGCTGTGGGAGCACAGAGAGACAAGACAGATAAACAGCAGTTATAAAGGATGGAAGATTAAGGGATATTCCTGTTCTAAGTGGAGCCTAGAAACAGGCAACTGACATGAGACACAAATGGAAGTCTCCTCGGTGCTTCTTAACTCCTGTGGCCCTCAAGAACCAGTCCCTGGGGAAGCTGCTGTGCCCAGCTGACCATCTCTCCCTTCCTTAGGGCTGACGACTGCTTTTGTGCTTCTCGGAAGCTGGATGCAGTGGCCATCGAAGCCAAGTTTAAGCAGGACCTCGGTTTCCGGATGCTGAACTGTGGACGGACAGACCTGGTGAAGCAAGCAGTGGCTCTTCTGGGGCCCGATGGGATCAACACCATGAGTGAACAGGTACAGGGTCCTCCAAGTGTCTGAGCAGGACCCCCCCTTCACCTCCACCACATGCACCACCCCAGGGCAAGATGAAAACAGTAGGCACTGGACAGAGGCTCCCCCTACTGGTGAATTAGGGTGGGTTTTTTGGTTGTTTTTTGGGGTTTTTTAAGTTTTTTCTTTACTTTTTTTTTTAAGTTTTTTAAATATCTTATAAAAATACCCTTATTCATGTTTATAGAAGTTGCATGTGATCACTGCAGCTGAAATGGAAAAATAGAGAAAAATAGGCCTATGCCAGAAGGAAATAATGCCATCATCTAAATAACCATCATTTATATTTAGCATGTGTCCTTCAAGTCCTTTTTTTGGCATAGTTAAAATTAGTTCTCTGCCTGCCTGTCTGTGACTGCATCACAGAACAAGTCCAGGCAGATTATCACCAGACTTTCAGGGTATGTTTAAGATACACAAAAGTCATTCTGAGGGACCCTGGGAGGCACCTCAGAGAGAGGCAGGGAGAGGCTTGTGTGTCTACTGGGGAGACACCGTGTGTGGGTGAAGATGTCACGGACAGAGCAAACAAACAGCAGTTTTCCATGTGAGCCCTGGAAGGAAGGTCAGAGGAACAGATGGAGCCTCTTCTCACATGGGCAGCTCATGCAGCAAGTTCCAAGGAAGGGATAACAGCTAATAGTTTTCTTGAGCAACACCAAGGAGCCCCAGTACACACACATATTATATTTTTAAAACAGAGATTTATTATATCTTGCTTTTTTCAATATTTTGTATTAAAGTTTCTTGCAATATTATTAAATATCCTTGCATTAAAATCACTTTTAATGGCTACATAAAATGGTCATATTATTTATTCTGCCAACCATCCTCAGTTGTTGGATACTTAGGTTGCTTCTAATTACTTATATCAATAATGCTTAGAAAATATACTTAAACAAGTCTTTGTTCAAATCTTTGATTATTTCATTAGGGAAAAATTCTTAAAGTGGAAATAGTGGCTTAAATGCATCTTATGGCTTAAATGCATAAGATTTTCCACCTCAAATTACTTTCCCAGAGACTGTTTCCTCATGCACACTCTCCAATTATTTGTGTTCACTATAAATCTTTTACTTATCTTTTTCTTATTTTTCATTGGAGCTTAATTGTTTTTCTTTTTTACTTAGAAGAGCTCTTTATACATTAGGCATATAACACTTTGTTATAATGTGACAGATGTCTCAATTTATTGTTTACCTCAGTTTTGTTTATGTTTTCAATTTTATGTTCTCAATGTTGTAATAATTTTCTTTTGTGATTTCTTCCATTACTTTTATGCCTGGAAATGGATCCAGTTAGATGTCTCCTATGGTTTTAATTTTTTTCTCTATATGTCTAATCAAACTAGAAATGATTTTGGTGTATGAGATAAGGCTCTAATTTGAACATTTTCCCAAATAGCTGCCTTCACAACACTGTTTATTGAAAAATCCTTCCTTTTGTTGATTGTAGTACTTTGTTCGTAATAAGCAAGAATCAGGGGCAAATATGGAATTCCTAAAAGCCACTCCTCATTCACTTGCCTTTTGCTTGTACATATTCGTCAAGGCAGATGTGGTGTTGGACATACTCAGAGGCATCCAATTTCCCTTGACACTGACCAGCAGCTTATACAGAGCAAAGTGTTATATTGTAAAAGAGAAAATATCAAGGAAACAGTGTTTACCAATTAGATAGCTTAAGGCTGATATTGTAGAATCCAGAAAGTTCCTCAGAGCTTTCCATTGAAATCAGCCTCTTGTTTTAGCAAGCATTCTTAGATCTGTTGCACCCTAAGACAGACAAATGAAAATCTTCCAACTTAAGCAAAAATAAATGCAAAACAAAGGGCAATTTATGTTCCCTTCTTGCCTCTATTTTGGTTTTCAAAATATGGAGGATTGTGACCTTAACACATCATCATAGGGCTGTACATCTACTTTTTCATGCTGGATTTTGAGAACAAGCAAAGCCTCCTTCACTCGAGTAAGATGTTCCTTTTGTTATCCCTGAGTGGCACACCCACATTGTAAACCTTCTCCATTCTCTGGTTTTTAACTCATTGCAGGGCATGACCCCCCTGATGTACGCCTGCGTCCGTGGGGACGAGGCGATGGTTCAGATGCTGCTGGATGCCGGAGCTGACCTGAATGTGGAGGTGAGGGTGCAGAGTGCTGCAGGGCCCCTGGCCTGGCAGTCTCCAGGAAAAGCGAGCAAAGAGAGGGGGGCTTTTTCTCCCAAGAGCCACCGCTGAGGGTGCTCAGTCCAGCAAATAGGTCAGATCAGCTGTTGCATTTCCTCCATCCTGAGGCCTCAGCCCAACCAAACTCCAAGGAGCTGCCTGCAAGCATGCTTCATGTAAAAACAACCAATGAAGCTGCAGGGGGCACCAGCTTTTCCCTTGGCTTAGCTGTACTGAGTCTCTGATTCTTCCTGCTGACCCATTCCTTCCCGGACGGGACAGAGAGAGCTCTCCTGAGCCATCTGCCTTTCCTCTGCCAAATACAAAGCTGGCCCATATCCTTGAGCTAAGGTGTAGCTCCCCCAGATCTCCCACCCTTCCCCACCCAATCCTGATTGGCTCACCTCCCTGACCAATTGAAGCCACAGGTCTTAAAGCTAATCGCAAAGTGAGGCAGTGTGGTATAGTGGAAAGTATACCCCCACAGGCTTTAGAATTTGACATGCGGCTTCAAATTCTGAAACTGCTGAGTCTTAGTAACTTGCTTGTCTGCTTGAGCAAGTCATTTAACCTTTCTGAGCCCCAGTGTTCCCATTTGCAAAATGAGAGAATAATTGCACCCATCTCACAGAGTTGTTGGAATAGATAAATACAGAGTGTAACATCAGTTTAGGACTCAGTTAATATTGGTTCCCCCACTCAATGCTTGTAATAGGTGAAATCACGCTTTTTGACCATACATGTTCTATGCTGTCTTAAGACCCACTGTCTCCAGCAGCCTAATATTGTCAGTCTCAGAGTCTGGGAAGATTGACAGGTTGCAGTCCTAACTCAGCAACCCCAGGAAACTTTTTCAGTTAAAAATTAGATGCTTTTGTAGTCTCAGTACTGTGTGTGTGTATGTGTGTGTGTTTTAATTAGTGAGCTTTATATTCATCTGAGGAAAACAGGCAATAGACATGGTTTTGGATCCAGAACCATTTGGATCTTGTAAGTTTCAAGTATCAGGGATTTTTTTCCCTGCTATGAATCTCCAAGCATCGTGCAGACCCCTACAGGGGCTCCCAGCTTTGGGTCTTGGTGGGATCCTCTGATCCTCTAGCCCATCCCATAGCTCCCAGCTCAAGGTCTTCCCCTGGCTAGTGATTAGTGAACTCAACTGCTCTAAATGAAGCAGGTATCTTAGTTCTATGGCCTCAGGAATGTTTGGGAGAAAAGCCATGTGTAGGTACCAATCCTGCAGGACCCCAGCCTTCAGCTGTCCTGCCACCTCTCTCTTGGCCTGGGATGTTTTGAGGCCCCTATATGGAAAGACTGGTATCAGACTGCTCACTTGTGGTGCACCCAGGGAAGATTTGTGCCTAGATTTCCAGTAGCATGAAGGTCCTTGTCAACCAGGAAGCCAGCAGAAGAGTGAAATGAGAACAATGTGGAGTGAGCTGTGACCAGATGATGATGTTTCTCCATCAGATGGGTGGTAGTCTTGCTTGGCTTGAAAGCTTGAAGCAGACCTCCCCTTGCCTGGGGTTTGCCACTGCCAAGAATTTCCCCTAAAGGTGTGGGTGTGATGGTAGTGGCATGTCACACTGTCACAACCTGTAGCTCTCAGAAGCACCACCCTCCCTTAAGCAGAAAGAAGAGACAGGCAGGGGAGCTGGCTCATTGTAGCCACCATTACATATTCTCTGAGTCACCTTAGAGGTGGTCAGATGTCATCCAGTTAACTCTTCAGATGAGAAGCAAAGGAATCCCTGTTATGCGTGGAAGACATAAAGTCACTACCCTGAATTGCCAACATTTCCTAAGGCACCTTCCAGGATGTCCTTTTGTACATCTCTAGCCTATGTGCCCAGCCACAGATAGGTCAGATTTGCTAGTCTAAGTATTGTCAAGGTCACATTTTGAAAATAACTTCAATTTGTTTATAGGTTGTCAGTACTCCTCATAAATATCCATCCGTCCACCCCGAGACCCGCCATTGGACGGCTCTGACTTTTGCTGTGTTGCATGGACATATTCCTGTAGTTCAGGTATTAACATATTTCCCTATCCACATCTGACCTTTAATTTTACCTCTTCCATTATGCAAATCTGCAACTCTCCCAGCATGCATATTCCCTAAGAGATTCATATTGGTTAATTGCAATTAAATGTAGCACATTCATATCATATGAATGAAAATATTATATATAATGACCTATATGACCTGGCCTTAACCAATATGAACTTATCACATACCCACATGCAGCCTCACACGCAGAGTGGCAAACCTACCAAGTTGTTCCCAGTTGCTCGGGGGTGGGGCCTGAGCTATGATTTTGTGGATTTTGCTTGTGACATGAACATATGACTTGGCTGGTATGAGACCTTAGAGCCTGCCCGTAGATGTGCCCCATATTTGCATAGAGTCTAGTGGTTTCCAACCAGTGCAAAGAAGCATCCAAATCACCAAGGAAGCAATTCCGAAAGACACTTGCTTGGATCCCACTTATGGAGAATCCCATCCAATAGGGTAGTGTAGGGTCTTCACGTGTGTCTTCTGAAACAGCTCCCCGAGTATGGAGAGATGTCCTCATCCACAGTCCTTTGGGCACGTAAGTGTGTTTTGCTTGCACCTTCTCTGGCTGTTGTAGAGTTGGTATTCAATGAGTAACTATTCAGTATATTTCAGATCTTAAACTTGGTCTTCACTTAGTTGGAAAAAAAAGAGATCGGCATCCAGGTCCCTGACCACACCTGGTCCCACAGTGAGTGCTGAGCTTTAGGCATATCAGAAAGTCATCTCCTTCTATGTGGTCCAAGCCTCTTAGAATCATGTAGAGCAGAAAATAGTGTACTAGGGACCACTAGGCAATGTTGGAGTTCCATAGGAATCCTTTGTTGCTTCCTAGGTCAGGGGAATCCTTAAGACAGATCCAAAGTTGTGTTTCAGGAAGTTGAGTGTGTGACTTTCGTACCGAGAGCTGGCTTCTGCCTGTAGGACATCATGATCGGTCCACTCCTAGTGGAGGAATCTAAGAAAGAAGGGGTCAAAGTATGGCCTAGTAGACACAAATGCCATCCCTTAACATGCAGTGGCATCCCCAGCCTTTAAACCAGGAGTAGGATCCGCAGGCAGCCAAACAAAGCCAAGCAGAAGGTCACCTCTCCACTGCAGGTGCGCACACCATGGAATGCCAAGTAGGCAGCCCCTTCCTGACTGTGCCCTCGAGTAGGCCTGGACAGATGGTTAAGAAGGCAAATGTTTCCCTCTCATTTTACATGAGCAGTGCTGACAGCACATTCACTGTGAGTGAGAGCATACATGGACAGAATCTCCATTTTTAAGAAGCCTGATTATCTTAGAGAATGCACAGAATGGAGTCATATGAAGCAACACTCCTGGCAGCTCACTCTGCCACTGTATTCACTGATCTTGCTGGCCAGGAAACTTAGCATTTGGTTAGCTGTCCTTAGAGCCATCCAGGGTGTTCTAGAAGGGATTCCTTGCCCTGGTTGGCCCAGGTGGTCCCCAGAGTCCTTCGGAACTCTTGAGATTCTGTGGTTCTGAGACTCCACTAATGCCCTCCGAGGCTTCGTGTCACCAACTCCAAAAGGGAGTCCTCCTGTACTCTGTGCCATGAGCTTCTAGCTCAGTGCTTCTAGAAACTTTAATGTACATATAAATCACCTGAAGAACTTGTTAAAATGCAGATTCTCATTCATTTGGTCTGGAGTGGGGCCTGAGAGCCAGCATCTCTAACAAGCTCCCAGGCGATGCTGGTGCTACTGTCCGTGGACCACACTTTGAGTGATCCAAGGTTCTAGAAGATACAAGAGGCTCTCAGTTCATCCTCTGAGGTGCAGTTGCCCTCACCCTGTGCACGTGGTCACTGACCCAGAGGGAGGGCAGGAACACTGGCATCACACTGATTTCCACCAGCTTTTCTTAACATCTCCTCATGTGCGTGTCCTTTAAACATCTCAATGGCCACTCTTCCTCTGCAGCTCCTCCTGGATGCTGGGGCCAAGGTGGAGGGCTCTGTGGAGCATGGCGAGGAGAACTACTCAGAAACGCCCCTCCAGCTTGCAGCTGCCGTAGGTAAGGATTGCTGATATTCATCCCGGCCAAGGGGCTCCACCACCTTGGTCCTTGATGTGTCTGTGACTGACTGTGTATTTGCTTTATTCTCTTATAAAACCCCCTTCTCTGGGCTTGCAGGAAATTTTGAGCTGGTTAGTTTGCTGTTGGAGCGTGGCGCGGACCCCCTGATAGGAACCATGTACAGGAATGGAATTTCTACCACCCCCCAGGGTGATATGAACTCTTTCAGCCAGGCTGCAGCCCACGGACACAGGTAGGCTAGGATGGGCCAAGCCACAAGGTCCCAAGTGGTGCTTGTTAAAAATGCAGATTCCAGGCCTACCCCAGACCCACTACATCTCTGGATGTGGGGCCCAGAGGCAGTCCAGCCCCGGGGCCAGCCAGTGATCTTAACTGCCAGACTTCTGGTGAGAGCCACCTTCATGCAGGATTGGCTTGTTTCATCCATTCCTATCCATTTCCCCTCACAGAGATGTCACTCTTCGCCATTATTGGTCAGAGCACATCACACCCCCGTCATGAAGTGAGGAGTCCATTTTAAAAAATAATAAAACCCCTCATATTTGGCTACTTCCCATCTGCGTTTCCTTCAGGATTTACCCCCTCAGATTTTATTACACATAACCCCAAGTAAAGCAAATTCATGATGTGGGGACTACAGGTGGACAGTTAAAAGAGCAGAGTTCCAGAACCTTCTAGATATTTGAGGAAAGCACCTAGCTCCAAGTTGTCCTCAAGGAAACACAGCCAGTCGTGCCCCACTGTCTGCTCCACCCACAAGACGTAATGCTCATGACCAGGCCTCCGAAACCACCACCCCGGAGTTGGCCCTGTTGCCACTTGTCCCAAGTGAGTGTCTCCCCGCTCCCCCACCCCACCCCCGCCCTGGCACAGCCCTTGCCTCTCTGAGTGTCTTCCTCTCTGGGTTTATGATTGACAGGAATGTGTTCCGCAAACTGCTCGCTCAGCCAGAGAAGGAGAAGAGTGATATCCTGTCCCTGGAGGAGATTCTGGCCGAGGGGACTGACCTGGCGGAGACAGCCCCGCCCCCCCTGTGTGCCAGCCGCAACAGCAAGGCCAAACTCAGAGCCCTGAGGGAGGCCATGTATCACAGCGCTGAGCATGGCTACGTGGATGTCACAATTGATATCAGAAGCATAGGTCAGTCTGGGGACCCTACACTGCTGGGCATGGCGCCACCGCCCAGCTGCAGGTCTCTCATATACACATACACACACACAGACACACACACGTGCACACACCCCACGTGGCCCAGGGAACTTCTCATTTGCTGACTGGAGCACTTCCCAGCTATGATGCCCACACCATCCCCATAGACAGCAGCATCCCACCAGCCCCAAAGTCCCATCTTTAGCTCACCTTTCCACGATTCCCAAACTCTGGACCCTGAGTTAGGAATTTGAATCACCTGGGGAACTTGTCTGAATACAGATTGCCAGGCCCTACACCCAGAGGCTCTTCTGTTGAAGGTCTGGATGGATAAAGGCTGGAAATCTTTATATTTAACAATCATCCCAGGTGGTTCCCAGTGGTTGGGGAATCGCTGCCTTAGAGCACCCAAATCCAGGAACCAGAGCGGGCATCAGCTAAGAAGAGGGCGTCCCTTCCCAAGCAGGGCTCCACCCACTGAGCTTCAGGGGTAAAGCCACTCTCAGGAAGAGTGAAGGGTGGCTCTTCCTTGAGTGAGCTAGCCCAGGGCCATCTCCTCCATGTGTCTGGGGAACAGGTTAGGGCGACCTTCACCTGTCTAGTGGTGCTAGCCCTGGCAGGGGAACAGCAGGACGGAACAGGGGCTGTCAACACAGGGCGTGGCAGGTCAAGGTAGGCTGAGGCCCTGAAGAGGGGCCCCTGATGCTGTTCTGGAAACAGGCCTCTCTTGGAGGGTGGCTGTTTAGTATGTGGGACCTGTATGCAATTGCCCTGGGATCCTGTTTAGCATGATTATGAATTCGAGATTCTGAGTAGTGTGCTTGTTATAAACAGTAGTGAGTGCCTCACTGAGAGAGGGGAGAAGCAAATCACAGCAATCAGCTGCTGGATAGGTTTCTATTAGGAGAGGAAGACCTGATGAAGTGCCTGCAGGTGGAAATGTGGTTTTGCACACGGGAGCAGCAGCGGTATCCTCCTGTGTCTTCATATTCAGATGTCAGTATCCACCCTGGCCAGAGCAGCAGGTGGTGAGGTCCACCCGTGGGCTTCACCAGCACTAAACTCTAGGTACAGGATGTAGAAGGAATGGAGGTGAAGGAAGTCAGAAATCAGAAGAATGCAATCTGCATAAAGAGTGTGCATTATAATTTCAGTGTTCTACACAATGATTATATCTTATAAAATGCAGCCCCTGATAATATGAGTAGCATGCAGAACTGGACACTCTCATAGTTAAGGGAATCGAATTACAACCTTTAATTTCAACTTCTGCAAGTCTTTGTGGGGAATAAAACCAATACTTCATTGAAAATTGGTCTCTTGGTCTCATAATTTGGAAATGTCCCCAGAAAAAGCCAGCTTCCAGATAAAAACATGTCTTCTCCTCTGGTTGTTTTTTGCCCTGCCCTCCCCTCCCCACCCACTCTCCTCATTTCCAGGTGTCCCATGGACCCTGCACACATGGCTGGAGTCTTTGCGGATCGCCTTCCAGCAGCACCGTAGGCCTCTCATTCAGTGCCTGTTAAAGGAGTTTAAGACCATTCAGGAGGAAGAGTACACGGAGGAGCTCATCACCCAGGGCCTGCCCCTAATGTTCGAGATCTTGAAAGCGAGCAAGGTACGTGGGGGCCCGAGGCCGTTGTGATTGTGGGCAGAGAGCAAGGCCGAAGGTTCTTATCCCAGTGCTCCCTGGGCCTGGCCCTGCCCACTGGTAGGAGCCCTGCAGTCGCTGCACTGGTGCAGTTGTACCCCAGCTATTCGTGCAGCCATTTGTGGGGCAGCCACTTGCTCGGGGCCTGTTATATCCCAAGGCATTTGGGCACATGGGACAGAGTAAAAGGTATCTTCCAACCCAGGGAACATGCGTGAAAGCTGGGGAGCTAAAGCCCACATGTGTGCCCCAGGGACATCTGAGGTGGTTTGTGAAACAGTGGGATGGCACAAGCTCTGAGGGGTGTGAGACGGTCAGAGAAGGTGTCACTGAGGTGCTGGATGGACGTTAGGAATCTGTTGGAAAAAAAAATGGGTGCAGCTCCCTGGATCAACAGGATGCTGACCCTGCCAAGGTCCCTGGAAGGCCACGCCCTGAGAAGGCTTTTCAGGTCAGAGGATCCAAGGAGCCTCCGAATTCCTGCTTACCTAC